GAATGCCAGGCCTTAAAGGGGAACTTGGTGTGCCAGGCTTAACAGGTATTAATTTCACAGTTGCTCTGGATGTATTACTTTTCACATACTAAAGTCCACAGAGGAAAGGAGGGGAATCTTACCATGGGGTTTTGATGACAAAAGGAGCAATATCAGGCCATAATTATGGAAGATGGGATAGCAGAATCAGGTCAACTTTGGACTGGGTTGGTTAAGTAATGTATTACAACTGGAGCTATCCATGCATATGCAGCACACTTGAACATCGATGTCATATTCTACATAATTTGGGGAGTACTTTTAAAAAAAAAAAAACAGCATGCTGTAGACAACTTTTCATTCTCCTGGATTATGTGGCAAGACCAGTACCCACTCAGTAGCCAACTTCACATTATGCTTGTTAGCTTAGGGTCTTATAGAGATTATTAAAAGAATATACTGGTTTTGTGGTTTTCCAGGCACAAGAGGAGGCATAGGACAAAAAGGCGAAAGCGGTGATCCTGGTTTCCCTGGCATTGAAGGCCTCAAGGGCACACAGGGTGTCCCTGGCTCTGTGGGACAGGAAGGTAAAATATTCTTTCTTTATAAGGCTCCAAAGAATAAAACTGCTTGAGAAAGATAAAATCTCTTTTCACTCAAAAGGAAGTCATTAAGTTTTTTAATATGTTGATCAATCTGTCAGTTGGTAAAGCACAGTTAAAAGGATGTGGAACTTGTGGTAGAACTTACCAAGAGGAAATTTCAAAAGCCTAACTCTGCTTCATACCAGTTTTTCCTTTTTTATGGTGTCTCAGTGCTACAAGGTTGTGAGCTTTTCAATGCTCTTTTCTGCCATAAATGAAATCAATATCCCCCAGGACCCAGTTACAGAGCCTTTGAGCCAGGCTACAGTACAAGAGTACCGGGGAACCAAAGTCAGGTTTACTCTGGCTGGATCATAAACTCAGGGCTTAAGAACATGTCTTATTGCAGGAGGATCACGAAAATGCTCTTCTGGAACAGTTGCTCCACATTTCTCATATAATTATGGGGCTTAGGAACTCCAGCCAAGACTGGAGCAGTTTTGGCAGGTACCACACTGGGAAACACCCTTGTCCGATCGGCTTTCCAGTTGGAAGGGAAAAACAGATGCAGCAGAAGGGGAAACTGAGGTGCACATAAATGAACTTACTTATTGTAAGTGGCAGTAGAAATAAAATTATCATTTTAATAGGAGGAGCCCACTATATTTTTGAGGTTGTCAGAAACCTGAAATTTGTAATTAATTGTTCTGTTACACCTTGCCTCTCCTACCTTTTCTCTCTTTAATCTTCTTCCACCTGGATGAGCAGTGTGGCGTCATACAATGACATTACTGGGAGGAAGCTTTCATTTTGCTACCTTGGCGAATTAAGGTAGCACAAGTCAGTGGTTTTGGCTAAATCAGCTTTAAGGACACGCACGAGCAATGATGCATCATTGTCACCTAGGTTTGCCGGGACTGGTCGGCCCCCCAGGGCAGCAAGGAAGCCCCGGGACTCCTGGATTTCAAGGTGAAAAGGGAACTCGCGGCTGGGCTGGCTTACCAGGACAAGCAGGTACTCATAGAGCTTCAGCTATTCACTCGTTTCAATGTGAGCGCTTGCTACTGTTCCTTTGGGGTGAAGCAGAATAAAGGGGGCTTTTTTCAGTTCAGACTGGCAATTCCCTCTAATAAACATTCGTTCCTCATAAAGTTCAGGTGCATTAATGAAGACCAACGTGGTTGCTTTCTGATTTATGGATTCTGAAGGACAGGTGTCTACTGAGCTCACTTTAACTGCTGATGACCTCCCTCTCAACCAGGAAAGCAGTTTTCAGGAAATGTTTTAATTTTTCGTGACAGCTGGGAAGACAAAACCAAAAAATTATTCAAAATGCAGCAAAAGTAGTGATATACAGTATTAGAATTTTACAATCTGGCATTAGATAGCAAACATTATACTTGTCCTATATCATCATCAAAAACTGCAAACTGATCCAATGTCTGGTTTTTAGAATAAATGACTTATGGCTCGGACAGAATTCTGCTATCAAAATACAGGTGATAGTTTAAAATGAAGCTGTTTGTATCACGGGATTCAGAATCTCATTGGTTGCCCCCTAATTACTTAGTATATTAAGCAGATTTTTTTCTACAGCACAGCCAGAAATTGCCCTGCTTTTAGTAAGATTCATCTATATGAATGTGCATCAAATCTAAGCTGATAACGGTTATGAAGGCTGCCCTTATAGACAGGGAAGAGAGAGACAGACACTTATTTTTGTGAAGGTCCAATTGTCCCTCAGAACTCTGGCCATTGATTAGAGATACCTGTCTAGCTTTAACATCATGCTTAACACTTTGATACGAACAGGGACAAACAGATGGGATAAGCAGGTCTGAACAGATGGGATAAATTTTACCTGTAACAGCAGCAGCTATTAGACATTTTGTTAGGGTTTTGTTTGGGTTTTTTAATGACACAGAGTAAATTTCTCCTGAAGAGAGCTTCATTATAATCACATTTAGAGTGTACAATTATGCCATAATTATCTTGGTTTAAGGATTTTGGAGAACTATAAATGGTTATTAACAAAATTGTGGCAGCAAGACTGGAACTAATGGCATGCTACCAGACGGATCAGAGATATTTAAAAAAAAATCTCATAGTGAGTTTATTGCATAATAACAAAATTTGCCAATCACAAAACCATGGCATGGTGTGTTTCATAATAAGCTTATTGTAATGAATTAATTTGCATATAATACACAAAATTTTAATGCAGAGTGGTATTTACTCAAGCATTTGAATTTTTTGCCTAGGAATATGTACAGGTTCACAGAAACTGTTAAGATAATCATGAGTGTAATTTTAAAACAGGCTTGCCTGGCTTAAGAGGAATCGATGGACTGCATGGTTTACCAGGGACTAAGGGCTTACCAGGATCACCAGGTAAGTGAGACTCTTATCCTGCCTCTTCGCGGGCTCCACAGTTTGCTGGCTGCAAGTTTGATCGGTGACATCTTTGCAATGTGACTTTCCTAACTGTGTCATCCAAAGCCCAACGTGGAATTTGCCCCATTATTGTGGGCTCTGGCAAACAACTTCATACACTATGTGCTGCCACGCAGATGGATTAGAACACAACTTCAAATCCAAATTTCTTTCCTCTTATAAAGTTAAAGCCTCAAGGCCTTTTTTCCCATTATGAGCTATTCTTTCAATGAGCCTTTACAGATTCACACATTTAGTAAATCCACATGCTCCATACATGTACGTTAGCATGCTGATGCATTGTTACATGCGGAAATGTTTCAGCTTTCGTCTTAATTTTGAACAACTCCACGACAGGTACAGATGGCTACGGCTCTGCAGGTTTCCCGGGTGCAGTGGGTGACAAAGGGGAAGCGGGAGAGCCAAGCAGAGTGGAAGGCAGCCGAGGACCTCCGGGTCAGAAGGGAGACAGAGGTGTTCCAGGTTTGTATCCCGGAGAATGGGATCTACTTATTACTTGTTTCAGCTGTGGGTGTTACCGATGTCACAAAACACAGCATAGTGTACAGGAGAGCTGTACAGGAGAGCTCCCGATGTGGGGAAGGTCACTGTCTGGTGTTCGTGCTGCAGCTCAGCCAGCCCTTGCTCCAAAACAGCGATGTGTGCTGCCCAGCGCTGGACAAGCCAGCCCCTCCAAGACAGCCTGGGTCCTGCCCCATGGTAGCAGCATCTTGTAGCACCCACCAAGCTCAGCGCTGCAAATGCCAGAGGCTACTCTTAGCCATCAGCTCCCAAAATACTTCTAATGAGGCTCCAGGTATACAAACTATGGCTTTTATTTCTTTTTGTTCCAAGTCCATCAATGTTTACCTTTCTTCTGAAGCCTCACTGTCCATCAGTGTGTGATTGTCCCGCTGATCTTTCCTGGGCTCTATTCCCATGCACAGAGCTTTACTCCTGCCATCACCCCTCCTGCAATCAAACCCACCTCGTTGTAGCGGGCTGCACTTATCTCTGTATGGTTCCCACCAGGTATTCTTCCATCAGAGAGCCACCAGGCTGATGTTATGGATGAATCAACTAATTACAGAGGGTTTTAAAAAGTTTTCCAACATTTTGGCTCTAAAAGGATTAAGGACTGGCATATATAAAACCTTACTGCCTTTGCCAGCTTGATTCAATGGCTCATTCCTGTTCTTGTCTGTTACACTTTGTTGTTCCTAACACGCTGTGCCTTCTTAAACACCATTCAAAGATTTATTATCGAGCCCTGAAAGAAACAGCTATTATTTCACTTATTCATGTTTGTTTGTCAGAATTAAATATTAATTCTTTTTAAAATGAATAAACAAAAGGGGGTTTATGGCTTCCTAACAACTTGAACCTACTTAAAAGAATAAGCTGTCATTGGTGGGTGAGATTTTTGGCCATTTAACACTTTTCATCTATAGAGAACTTCTTGGATTCAAACTTTTTGTTTTAACAGATCCCTAAAAACCATGTCTGTGACCCCTGACTCCACAGGACACAGGAGAACAAAGCTGCTTTCTTATCTGCTTCAATACACCTAGGATATTTTGAGTACTTCCTATCTCAAAATAGTATTTTACCTGGCAGACTCAAGATGATTATCATTCCATACTGTGAGATGTAATTAGCTATCCAGAGAGCTTTGGCACAGAACTAGTATTCAGTTCTTTATAGAAAAACTTCCAGAACATGATCTGAAAAAAATAAAACAAAAATCAGTGGGAACTGCAGGTGCTTTCCATTTTGAAAATCCCATTCTTTATACTTAGTCTAAGGTGAGTCCTTGTAATTGCAACTGAGCATTTTCCTTGCAGTACTGATTATTTCTTCTCTTCCTTTCAGG